GTTTCACGTTCTCTGCACGTAATAAGCTCGGTTATTAAGCATCTTTTTTGGGGATGCCCGGTGGCCGAGGGGAAGACGTGTAGTGGCGTGAAGCTAGGCGATTAGGTGCCGTACGCGAGCGCCGGTTCGAGTCACGCACGCAGTACGTATTTACTATAATTAGACATAGTCTTTACCTTGCCGTTTATTCGGTGTTATTTGCTTCCCAAATGGAACAATATGGCGATTACTAGTTACCTGCGTCCTACCTGCCATTCGCAAAGGACGCCGGGAACCAGCGAATTCGACCTTCAGCTCTCACGTCGTATTTCATGTGACATTAGCCTTGTGTACGGTGACTTTGACAATATTTCGGTAAGATTTGGTCATCTTTAAATAGTTATATTTAAAGAACAACATTTTCAAAAACACATTTTAAACACGTGTATATACAAAACTATAAAATAATATATTACAAATACGGCAATTATTTTTATTTTTTAAAATACAACTTCGTTTAAAGTTGTTTAGGATAACGATAGGGAACAATTGGACCACTGAATTGCGGCAATTTTTCCGTTTAGCTAACAAGCCTCAACACTTAAAACTAGTTCTGAGTTGACTGCTCATATACATGTACCGTTATATTGTATGCTACGAATTTAGTGACTTATAACTATAGGACATCGAACTTATTCAAATGTGAGACAGTTTGCCAACCGTTCAAACCATTGTAACGCCCGAGAAAAGGGAAATACCCAATCTGAGTGGCTCCCACCACTTTGTGAGACCAAAACATTAACGAGATGGGGCGTGTTGACCTACATTATAAGGAGAGTGTTCAATTCAATACAGTAATTCAATACAATTCAATACAGTAAGCACTTATTATGCTAAGTAAACTGAAATCGACATACAATGATGAATACCGATGACGTAAAATCAAACACGCTATTGTGAGACGCTCCGACAAGAAAGTATACCAAATAGCCCCGGGACAGGTACAGGGAGTCTGCGCAGATCGGGATTCAGTGTGAGTGGTTTAAATCATAATGTTTCTTTTAAGTCCCATGCTTATACTTACTAGGTCATTTTGAATGTTTGGATGTATACTTTTCGGCTATCAACAGGAAACCACTTCACAGGTCGAGTATAGTAATAAAACTACCCCCATTGACGTAATAGTGACCACACCCAATATCGGCTTTGCTTTAGAGGTGGGGGAACGGACATACAATACAATACAGTGGAATGTATGAAATAGAAAACGTCGCATAATCTGACAATACACAATTCTTGTGGGTGATACTAAGTCGCTTTACTCGCACTCCAAGTTGCATGGGTTATATTGTTAAGAAATACCTTTTGGGTTTTCCCGTTAAATTAATTAGTACTTTCATTCACAGGTCACAGTTGTATCACAATTGTTTGGTGGATGTTTTATGGTCATTCAGTATCTACCGCATTGTTCAAACTTGTCTTCACTAGTATACGACCAAAGCAACTGAGCTCCGTCAGATAAAAAAAAATGTGCTACACGGATCATATATTTTAGATGCACAGTTAGCATTTTAAAGAGGAATTTAAAGACTGGTTAAAAGACTAAACGGTTTCTAAAGATGTATAGTTATCGGAAATATAACTAGCCGAGCTTGATGTCTATATAGCATTCTGCCTGCAAATAATTTAGCTAATCATATAGTACGTTAATTTTAGCCAATGAAACAACCTCATTAATAGTTATTTACCAATCAGCTCGTCCCTAGTACCGAATCATGTACAAGTCACTTTCTGCCAAAATGCAAGGAATGTAAAACTTGTGTATATAAGTGTGGGCACACACACCATGGAGGAGTTTCAATAAAGTCATCTTTTATAGTGTACACCAGTTCGTCTCTTGTTATCCATCTCTGAACCTTATCATAACAATTATACACAATAGTTATATTTTACTTGATCTCTCGTTTTCCTCATCGCTTTCCGTTACACATAGGAACCGACTACCGATGAATTAGTGGTGGATTGCCTATTTCTCTTCAACGCTGTATTGGGCAATACATATATAGGTTTTATGCTTGATTCAGTTCGCCATCACACGATATAAATGCGCACATTGACATAAAAAGAGCGTTTTTAGTTTGCTCCATATGCTAGAATTAGAAAATTGACTAAATAACCACTTCTCATCTTTAATTAATCCAACAGCCCTTTTTACAGATACATGCATTGTGCTACTCTCTTCACACTACCGACCAACTTCGGTGTTTTTTTTAAACAGAACTAATAATAACACATTTACTTGGATTATTATTACTCTCCACACTCATCTATGGCCAAAACAAGACGATTTTATATTTTTTTCATTTTCAAAAATATACGTTTGGTTTTGTTGAAGAGTAAATAATTTGTTAGTTCTAAAATGCATGTTTAACATTTTTGAAGTTTTGAAAAAATGTCGTTTGTGCATTAAAAAAAAGAAAAAGAGTAGGCATTTGTAAACTATCAAAAATGTCAAACATTATGTAAATTAGTTTGCTGTTGGGCATATCTTCCACTTTTATATTAATTTAATGACGTAATATGAACGAAAACTTGCATTTTTAATATTATTCTTTGATACACCATACTGTAGACTAAATCCGATTATGATTTAACATAAATTAAAATGTTGCATTTACAGAACACACAACATTATTCGTTCTATGAAATGAAGTTACCTATTGCCCTGCATATGACGTTACCTATTGCCCCGTATATGAAGTTACCTATTGCCCTGTATATGAAGTTACCTATTGCCCTGTATATGAAGTTACCTATTGCCCTGTATATGAAGTTACCTATTGCCCTGCATATGAAGTTACCTATTGACCTGTATATGAAGTTACCTATTGCCCTGTATATGAAGTTACCTATTGCCCTGTATATGAAGTTACCTATTGCCCTGCATATGAAGTTACCTATTGCCCTGTATATGAAGTTACCTATTGCCCTGCATATGAAGTTACCTATTGCCCTGTATACAAAGTTACCTATTGCCCTGTATACGAAGTTATACTATTGCCCTGTATATGAAGTTACCTATTGCCCTGTATATGAAGTTACCTATTGCCCTGCATACAAAGTTACCTATTGCCCTGTATACGAAGTTACCTATTGCCCTGTATACGAAGTTACCTATTGCCCTGAAATAAAGTTACCGGTAACTATTGCCCTGCATATGAAGTTACCTATTGCCCTGTATACGAAGTTACCTATTGCCCTGTATACGAAGTTACCTATTGCCCTGCATACGAAGTTACCTATTGCCCTGAATATGAAGTTACCTATTGCCCTGCATACGAAGTTACCTATTGCCCTGAATACGAAGTTACCTATTGCCCTGCATACAAAGTTACCTATTGCCCTGCATACAAAGTTACCTATTGCCCTGCATACGAAGTTACCTATTGCCCTGAATATGAAGTTACCTATTGCCCTGCATACGAAGTTACCTATTGCCCTGAATACGAAGTTACCTATTGCCCTGCATACAAAGTTACATATTGCCCTGCATACAAAGTTACCTATTGCCCTGCATACGAAGTTACCTATTGCCCTGAATATGAAGTTACCTATTGCCCTGCATACGAAGTTACCTATTGCCCTGAATACGAAGTTATCTATTGCCCTGCATACAAAGTTACATATTGCCCTGCATACGAAGTTACCTGTTGCCCTGTATACGAAGTTACCTATTGCCCTGCATACAAAGTTACCTATTGCCCTGCATACAAAGTTACCTATTGCCCTGCATACGAAATTACCTATTGCCCTGCATACGAAGTTACCTATTGCCTGGCATACGAAGTTACCTATTGCCCTGCATACGAAGTTAACTATTGCCCTGTATACGAAGTTACCTATTGCCCTGCATACAAAGTTACCTATTGCCCTATATACGAAGTTACCTATTGCCCTGCATGTGAAGTTACATATTGCCCTGCATATGAGATTTCTATTGCCCTGCATATCAAAAAACCTATTGCCCTGCAATAAAGTTACCAGTAACTGTTGCCCTGCATACGAAGTTACCTATTGCCATGCATATGAAGTTACCTATTGCCCTGCATACGAATTACATTACCGTACTAAACGGTTATGGGGCATTCACGTACTGCGTTTGAAAACACTGTCAATCAACAACCCGTGATGAACCTTACACCTTAGGATCTGTCGATGTACGAACGTGAAGGTTCAAGGAAGGAGCAGGGCGGACGTTGCGTGTAAGCAACGGTGAAACAATGAGATTACGTGGGTTACTAACCCCCCCACATTCCCGTCAAGAATATCTCAGCCAAGCAAAAGAGGGTTTATTTGTAATGGTCAGTTTAAGGGGGTTATTAAATGCTAACTTTAGCGACTGTTGTTTCATGGTGCGGCATTTATCGCCCAACCCTCTACTCAAATATGTTGATGCGTCCTAGGTTCAACGCTCGTGCTGTACCTCGGGCTAGCAGAATTCACATACGGTGTCCGCGTCTTTATTGCAGGTACAACATGTCATTGAGTTTAAGCTAATTAATTTGTTTAATGTATCGAATTAATTTCGAAATCACCCAAAGATAAATTAGTGAGTTATCCATATGTTTTTAATAATTAACGTGCCGGTAATAATTAATCATTTGCTTGAATTCATACTTTAATCGTAAGTCATTAGTTTTGCGGATCTAATTAAGCTCGATTCTAGCGACTGTATCAGGTTATGAACCTAACGCATACCTCGTCTACGAATACCAGCGACGTTTTATCAGTGCGGTATTGTGCATTTCGTATTGAAGAGAGAAAGCCGAGGTCAGACAACATTTTCTCAAGGTTACGTGACCCTTACTGGGCACTGAATAGAGCACATATAACCACTATTACCATGGTTACTGCTGTGAACACATTGCTTGTACAACGTTAACTGTAGTAGTTATTGTTATATTGGATCCCTTTGCTGCCACCATGTTTACATAACTTTGGTCTATGGCCCAATAAATTGTGGGACTCGGGATTTACTTTCTTTCACAACAACTGGACTAGGGTGTTCGATCAGAACTCGGTTGTTGCGGACTACTTTGTCCTCAAAAACACCTGTTGTGGGTTTGGTGTTTGTTCATACATGAGTGAGTTGTAAAGAAGTGACGTAATATGCGTGTCAAAATAGTTTATAGACGTACGTGAGACCAGAATATTAGTTTTACTATATTTGTATACTATTAGACGGTGTTCAGTTCCGTTTTGTATTTTGTATTTTTCATAAATTTTAATATAGAAATGATTTTATAGTCTCCAATGAAGTCTTGACCCCGCTTCATATTACAAATTATATTATTCTATTAGACACTGATACAAATGACGGAGGATATTTTAGTGGTGTAAATTAAGAATAAAACACATTCATTACTGATTTCAGAAAACGACTGAGGCATTTAAAAAACAACAACAGCCATCGATCCGTGGCGAATTTCCATCGTATAGTTGCGTGTCGTCATTGCGTCTATAATGTTGTTAACATGTGTACGGGGTGCTGACCAGACACTGACAAAGTTTAGACGTGTCTTTTGTGAAACAGACACATACCATATAATGAAGGATTAACCCTATTTTCAGTATTTGTCAGATTGACTGTCAATATCAAAGGCGCACTCGAGTGACTCCCATTCACCACAGACACAATTGGTATTTGTTCGATGTTTTCACTTTACTCTTGTTTATACCAAAGACCTTGCCTCTAACACGATAGAGAAAAACAGTTTCTACACGCCGTGCAGTGAATACCGGACGGCATTTGAGGCCTTGTCGCCCAACAGAACATACTCCGGTGTCTTCCCATTTTACTCCCTTCTGTGTATGGCGTATTTATAAGTAACTTGGATATATTTTTATTTGAAGAACTGCATTTTAATCATCATACTTTCGTGGCGAGATGCGTTTTCTGCACAATGCATATCTTTAAGTAAGAGTACTGGTGAATTAGTGGTTGAATATTTTTACTACGATGTAAGATTAGCTTACTAATTCTTAAAGGACAGGCCTCTACCCAGCAACCTATAAATTGTCTTCTCAGTATGCTATGTAAAGAAATCCGCAGTAGACTACGGTGATCCGGTATATGCGACACTTTACCCCCCCCCCCCCTCCCAATCCTTCCGGGAACCCGTGAACTGTGCGTTTATCAGTGACCGCAGGCCACATGACCAACGATTGCCGGGGGTAGGCAGACATGCTGGTCATTAGCGTAATGCTTTCGGTAACTGTTAGTTATAAAATGTCCATATATTACACGTGGATATGGCAAATTGTTATAAATATTTATAAATGTAAAATGTAGTTTCAAATTCAAGAATTCAAGTGGCGATTCGGCTCTGTCTACGCGTTTCAATGTCAACCTTGAGGTTCCCTGGAATAGTGTCGTCATTACGACAGTCCTTGTGATCGGTTTTCAACTGCTTGTTCGAGTTACGGGTGACAAGCCATGTTATGTGAAACAAATAGCCAACTGTAGTAAACGAAACAGTAAATCACATCTACTGGTTAGAATATTGCACAATATGAGAAATTAACTTGTGCGGCACTTTGGACTGTGAAAGACAACGATCAACAAAACCCAAATTTAAAGAGTTCCTATTTCAATACCTCAGGTCCCGTGTTTAAGAGTTGCGCTGAAGTACAGTCTATGGAAACCACAATCCTTCGCAGATTTATCGTCGTTTATCAAGAAAAGTGTGCAAAATCAAGACGCGCCCATGCACGACGACTGGTTTTCCTACATGGCTATTTGAACAATTGTCACATGTTGTGGTGCGAATTAGCGTTGGGGAGGGGGGGGGGGGGTCAGTGATTACTGGAATCAACAGGTAGTCCGTGCGTGGATAGGGCAGTATTCCACCGTGTACCTTAAGATAACATTTCGAAGAGATACCATAACTTTATATCTGATGTCAGTTATGAATAAAATTTACCGTCTGTATGATTGATGATGGGATAAAAATAAAGAATAATGACGACAACATAGTAGATAGTCTTTTGGATGAACAAAAAAAAAAAGCTACTTACCGCGACTGTTGTATGTATGGCAGGTAGTAACAAGAGAGCAAGCAACGCTACCCTCGCTGGTAGCTTCATGGTGTCAGAGCTGACGAGGCTCAGTTTCAACACTTTCCTCTCGCGTTGTCACAGAGTCAACGTGATGGCGTAGATCTAGTCTTCACGCGAATATCCTATCGATAGCACCCGCCAGATTCTTAGATTGGCTTAAGTCTTCTGCGCGTCACAGCCTCGACTACGTAAGACTGGTGTATAATGGTGTCTAAACCAATCCAAAGCTTGGGAGCCAGTATTAAAAGTGGGAAAACTTTAGGACTTTTCCATTTATGTTGGGAGGGGTCAGGTCCGATTAAAAAGGTGGGACACGTTTACGCGCAACCAATTTCACACTCGAATACCGTTCACCTAAAACAAGGCGTGGCACCTTCAACCTTTAGAGGTCAACTGCCACGTTGGTTTTGTCTCAAAGTTAAATCACGTTTAATTATTTATCTCGTGTTGTCGATAATAGAGTAGGATCTTCCGGGCCTAGTTACTGTCAGCGACGATGAAGTATTGTTGTTATTGTTGTTGCGCATCTTTGGAAACACATGGGTGTGGTGGAACTTTCATTCTTTGGATACTAGTTTACTGTTAATATGTCATTTATTGAAATCAACAGCGCGTGCAGTAACCTCGCAGTCTCAAGGTCGTCATGACTCTCTCGTTTAAATATATTTATAACCATCTGCAAAACATATACATCGTTTGAATTTCAAACGCAGTGTATTTTTGCAAGAATTGAATAGTTACATAAATAACAGTTCTGACTTCATACAACAGCTCCACATTTCTGTTAAACGATCTCATTAACTTTATATTTGAAAATGCATTTCCATCAAAACGAGGTGTTGTTAATGATCTACATTAAATGACACGCCCTCTGTACAGTGGGCGGCTACACTAGGTCACTTGAGGTCGATTTGAAGTGAACACCCACTCAAATATTGTATTCGACGAAACAATGGTGATATTACTGTAATTGCGATGTGAAATCTTAACTAAGTTCATCAAACACATCGTTACATTCCCATGTTGCCTAGCAACTGACCTGAAATGTAAATGTGTAACCCCCGGACACAGACTGTGAAAGTCACTGTTTAGAACGTTGTCCAGCACACGCAACGGCCATATCACACTACGTGCTTTCCGGGCATAAATCTTCAACGCAGAAACACACTATGTAGTACAATGTACTTACATTAGTCGACTACATTATTACCATGTAATCTGGATAATACATAGCTTGCTACATACCGACCTGGAGGCTAGTTAGTTTGGTACTTACAGACCAATTACATAATCAATCAAACTAATCGATCAAACATTCAACCGAGCAGAAAATTGATATATTCATTGAATTTTGTTTGACCATGTAAATAAAATGGACGAATTCGTGTAATGCTTACAGATAAATAAGTATCAAGTTATCACCTACGGTTATAGTCACGTTATGGATGACAACTTCACATTTTGTTATATCTATAGAATATGATTAGTTAATATTAGTTAATAATGGTTAATATTAGTTAGTATTAGTTAATATATATGAATATATATTTTTCCTTATAAATTTTATACGATTCACTGCACAAGTAGGAATCAGCGACTGCCTTGCAGCTGTTAATTTTTGGTAACTAGTCATATTGTTACTCCCCACTGTAAACTTAAAAGTAAAGTTATTTGAAGTAGTCACGTGATGTCGTAAAGCAGACGTTGCCATGACTACCGAGTAGGTCAATGTCATCAGAAGGTACAAATTACAGAGTTATGTTTTTTGATCGGGGAAGTATACACTAGCTAGTGTGTGAGTAGATAACACCATGGAACACCAGGGAGTTGTTGCAGGCTACGTCCTCGCAATAACTTTCTGACAGTCCCGTGGTGTTATCTGCACATGCAGTCCTATATTGTAGATGTAGAATATCGTGTTATCATCACTGACATGGCGTTACCAGCTCATAGCTGGCACTGCTGAAGCTTAAATTAACAATTGTTAAAAAATATTGATTGCGATTAATGATTAATTCCATTGTAAATCACTTCCAGCCTTCCCATCACTGCCCCACAACAATGCCAGTATATTTCGAATAATCTTATATTTGAATATATTGATCTTTATTACAGATATATATCCAACGCCCCGAAAAAAAACACAATTACACAAGCTGAACTCTGTGAGAATTTACAGTAGCTCATCGGCTCCTCTCCTCAGTTTCATAGTATGGTAAACACAGACAGCTAAACGTTTTAGTATAATCATCAACTTTCTGAAGCAATCGGAGTATTAAATTTATTGTGGTTTGTGTGTAAATGAAACGTTGAATGTACCACGATTTCTCTGAAAGAGAGCTTACAGCAGAATAGTGTAAGAAGAAGCGAATGTTATCCGCTAATTAAAATGTGAAGTAAGAAGTTTTCTTCATTGGTTTGTTTCATGTAAGATAGGTGTGTCTGAAAAAACACATACTAAGCTGGATGAGTGGAACTACTAACACAGTTATTGTGTTGCAATGGCTGGTTTATAAATCAGAGATCAGTCGCCAACATTACCGATGTCAAGAGACAGGGTGAAGAGCATTCAACGCCCTGTCTAACTGAAGTAACCCGAATCATGGATACGGTCACGTAACAACAATTAGGACAATGACATGGGTTACGCCTATATGGTACATTTCGACATGTGCGTTTATTTGAGTACCATCCATTGGATTCAACAACGTCACATAACTCGTCTTCAATGACATGCATATAATGCATATGACCGCCCACGCATTTTTGAAGAAAGTGTCATGAATCCGTGTACTGCGCTGGCAAATCACGCACATGATATTCACTACGTTGCTAGGCTATTACTTGTATTTAATCTAATCTAATGTAATCGTAGGCTGATTCTTATTTTCTGGTAACTGAAACTGCTAAAATTGGTATTTTCTCTATTCAAAGCGGGGAGTCGTCACCTGCGCATGCGTCAGATGGTCATGGCGTGTCATTGTTTACAAACAAGCGTCTACGCATGAACCTTTGCGCTTTTAGCGTGTGTTGTTATCGTCGCCTGGGACCCAATTTCCGCGCGTGTGCAGGTGACGACGTCGACCCTCTCGCATTAAAGATGTAATATGGACGAGAAGATGTCATTTGTATTATTGTTGTTTTATACACCGTATGGATGAATATATTAAACTATGCTTTTCCTGTAACACACATAAGAGTAATCGCTCAATGAAACAATGCAATTCTCTAATATATATATGTGCATGTATTTTGGTACGTACAATAAAAATCATTACGCATGCGTATTAGAGTTTTTAATTTTTCATTTGGCGAATATTGTTGTAAGCATCCAAAAGCAACATTTTTAATTGATGACAAATATTAATCCCATCTGGTCTACAGAATAGAATAGCGAACAACAATATTGAAGAAATATGTTTTCTTCCATATTGCATTTTTGAAGGCAATGTAGACATGTTTTCAAATAAGAGAAAAAAGAAATGTAGTTTGTCCCAACAAAACTGAAAAATTGCTGTCTGTCCAGATGTATGCACTTTTGTTGCATTTTTAGTAATATATTATTCAAAGTAGGTGGTCGTTTTGAATGGTTGTTTTTTATCGTTTCATGTTGTAAAGCTGTCAAAAAAGAAATTATCATTAAAAGAAGAAATACAGGCTAACTGCGTGATACTCTAGACGAAGAAGTTCTACAAATACAGACGAATGCAAAAGTTATATTTTTGGCGTTATACATTGTTAGTTTACAATAATCGAAGAAATAATATATTACAATATAATGCAGATGTCCAGAATTACTAAATAGTCATATTTTCGGTACAAGAAAACATGATAAATGAATGATTGATGTGACAATATTGTGCTAGTTCATGACAAGCATTCTGACACTGGGCGTGTGTCGGCCATGTCACGTATCGTGTGTACATGTGAAGACGTTGTCTCTGGAGAAAATGCGACAGAGACAACGGTTGGAGTATTTAAAATAAATAGCATACTAACAATGCTCGATTGTTGTAGAAGGAGCGGTCCTAAGCCATGCCACCTCAGAAACCAACCATTGATTTGCGGTCACTTACAATTGTACAGCACATTTTCTTTTACTCGGCCAACAATGGTGACATTCTCAATATGTTGTCTTTCCCTGACAATGATAAGAAAATCTTTACAATTCGCGGTCTTAGACCAAAAAGACTTTGAATAAAACAGAAACATTCACAGCGCTGGATGGTTATATTTTACACAGAGAGGCATGCACGTTTTTTTATCCACTGTGTTCGATATTGCGGCATATACATTGAAATATTATTACTCGTACTGTATCTTGTTTCGTCAATTTGGAATACCACAATTATATATTGTTTTTTGATAGTCACACGATCACCAATTCATGTAAATATGTGCAAAATACTACAATATATGGAAAGATACTATTTCTATTTTGACCTCGTACTGTATGAATCAATTTGTGGTCACAGTCGCTCCGCAAGGAAGGTTCCACAATGGAGAAACTGCTAAAACTAGTTAATTAGAACAGCACCATTTTTTTTTATTCAACTTGAAATTCAAATAATCCGTGATCGCTCCAGTCCTCTCGATGGACTGTGATATGGTGCACAGTCTAATAACAAGTAAATACAAAAATATTGGTATAATATAGACATTTAATTCTTTCAGATCTCAAAACAGAACTATGTCCCTTTGGTACAAAATGAACACAGAAATTTGAGAAATCCATGAAGATGTGCAAAATGTACCAAAATGATGTTGGCACTGATGCCGTTCACAGGGTTAAGCATGACCCATATATTCTAAAGAGTGTTGATCTAAATGAACCATTTCCTTTTAAAGTTCTTATTTGCATTGAAGTACTGTTCCCTTTTGCGTGTTACTGTGACGTTCTTTGAGAAACTTGTCTTAATACTGTTCAAAAAATGCTATTTTTTTTAGAACATTCCATAGATTGAACACAAAGTTAAAGAAAAATTTAATTTTGTCACTTTTTAAACCCAGATTTTTGAAATAATTCACGACAAAAAAAAAAAAAACTCCCCTAAACAGAATCATCATACCATGATCATACGTAAATTTGCATGGTTACTCGGGATTACGTCTTCGAGCAGCGTTCCACAGCAGCTCGCACACTGAGAGCTCATACACAGAGGTGCGCGTCTTGGCAACGTGGAACGTTCTGTGACGTGCCTTCGCTC